TCATCTAACTTCAAATGATACTACTCTTTGTTTTCACATGTGGTAGGACTTTTGGTTGTTAAACCTATTATTAGCATACCAGTGTCATTCTTGGTGAGGAAATGAGTATTTGAAAAGATTTTATGACATATTAACTCTTCATCTGAGTTAAGTGACTTGACAAAATGTCACGTTTCCTTTCATGCATGAAGGAGCCACAAGAGCATCTAGACAACCAAAGTGACATTAAAGATTATAGGTACAGCTTTCTACAAAATAAGCCAGTTCATGCACCAAAATGAAATAAAATGACCTCAGGGTTGATAGGTATTTCATCAGGGTTTGGGATGTAGAGATAATTTTACACAGTTTCATTTTTAGCATTTCTATGTAAACAACAATTAGAAGTAGATGCCTTTAGGTTTGTGTTTTTAACATCTTAGAATATATCATTAATTAAAATCCCTATGCATGAATTTGTCAATGAGATCTCAACTCAGGAAAAATTGGCAGAAGGAATGACAAAAAGAAAAGAATGATAATGGGGAATGGTAGCTCCTTATAGGAGGCTTCCTAGATTACCTGCCTGTTTTTTACAAACCGAATATCTCTAAATGATCTGTATAAAAGAAGGTTCCAGAAGAAGGCAGCAGAGTGAAATAGATTAGATGTGTTGAAGGTTAGATTTCTGGAATGTTCAATTTGGCAGCGGACAAGTTCCAGAGTCATGGGCATGATTCAAGTCTACTGCTGCATATATATCTAAGTTTGGCTGTTGCCTTGTCTGAGTTAGAATGAGCCATGCATCACCTTCAAGATGACAATGACGAGAGTGTGCATTGTACAATAAACCAAATTTATGTTCAACCATTTCAGGTTTGACTGTACCTTGACTGTTGATGAAAATTTCCTGTATAAAATATAAAGGAAAAGGAAAAGGGATAAAGCTTTCACAAAGTGGATGAACTTGATAGCCTTTCTGCACTGGGAAAAAATGTAAAGTAGGGATTATAATTATGCTGTCATTTATTAAGCAATTGCTACATGTCATGCATGGTGTGTGTCATACAGACACTGAAGTAGACACTTTTAGTATTCATTTCTGATAAAAGCAAATATAATTTTTAAGACAACTGTGAAAGTCCACACAGAATCAGAGTGTTAGTCAGTTTTCTGTCACTGTTACAAAATAGCTGAGCTGATCGACTTAAAAGGAGGGAAGATTTATTTTGGTTCATGGTTTCAGGCCATAGTGAGTTGGCTCTGTTGCTTTGGCCTTGTGACAGCAATGTAAATCTTGGTGGGATCATGTAGTTTGGGAAGCCTGTTCACCTACGGTAGCTGGGAACCAAGGAAAGAGAGAGGATGGAGTGAGGTCCCAGTACATTCTTTCAGGGTTCACTCAGTGATCTCACTTCCTCACAGCAAGCCTCACTTCTTAAGTTTTCCATCACTTCTGAGTAGTGTCACAGGCTGGCCATCATGCCTTTAAGACATGGTATTCTGGGGCCATTTCAAGTCCACAATACAATGCAGGGTCAAACTCTTTTTCCTTTGGCTTCAGGTAAGACTTAAAATACATATTGAATTGGAAAAGACTGGCTGATGAACTGGATTTGAGGTATATAGAATAAGAAGAATGAAAACGGAAAGGAAATTATTTGGGTTGAGCAACTGCATGATGTACTTACTATTCCCTGGGATGTGAAAACTGGGAAGGTGTTCCTTAAAAGGAAATGAGGAATTGATATTACTTATTACATTTCTTATGCCTACCTAATGTTGAATTGAGGTGGTACACACAGAAGGGATTTATCTAAAGGTTTGTGAATTTGAGGAAATGTTCAAGGTCTAGAGTATAAATTTGAGTATTTTCAATAAAAGATTACCTGTATCCATGAGAGTTCATTCAGTGACAGAGGGACTACTAGAGAAGGGCCAGAGGGCTGATATTGTGACACTGATTTTTGAGGTCAGGATGTGTTAGGACTTGAGGTTTGTTACACCTTCCCAAACTTGTACTTTGCAATCCCTAATACCCAACACGATTGTGTTTGACAACATGGTTTTGAAGAAATAATTAAGAGTAAGAGACTTCATCAGGGTAGATCCTTGATCCAGTAAGACTGATATCCTCATAAAAAGAGGAAGAGATGACAGAGAACCCTGCTCAGAGAGGCCACAGCGGGAGTTCAACCTTCTGCGTGCCAAAGAGAGGGAAATCAGTAGAAATCAGACATGCTGATGTCTTGATCTTGGACTTCATATCTCCAGAACTGTGAGAAATGAATTTCTGTTATTTCAGCCACACAGTCTGTGTTATTTTATCTCATAGCCTTAGAAAATTGATTTACAAATAGAGACTTCAGCCCAGTAAGAATGAAGCCAGATGACGCTCCACTGAGACAGAGGAAAAGATGGACTATGTGAGATGTCTCTGAAGTCAGATAAGGGTAATATATCAAGGGCAGAATGCCTTAACTGTGCCAGAAGCTGCTAAGGGACTGACCAAGAGGGTCCTCCAGCTCCGTGCTGCTTGGTTAAAGTTTAGATAGGCTTATTCCCAAATCAAGGCTTCTAGTCCCTCATTTTGTAGAGCATTAATTGGGAAAACTTACAAATTCTTTCCTTGTTCCTTGTAAAATTTCCTCCCTGTCCCTTGTAAAATGATTATTTCACTCAAGGTCACGAGAGCCACTCCTGTGAAATGTAGTCATTGAGGAAAGTAGCTCTCTTATCTAACCACATGTTTCTTTAGAAAGATGGAAACCTATCATCGATGAACACCAACTTGCAAATGCAGAAGGTCTAATTACAGAGAAAGCATTTGTAAAGTCAGAAATAACTCTGTACTCACTGGCAATCAGCTCACCTTGAACATAGATCACTGTTTTTATACTAGTTCTCCCCACTGCCAGAAAATTCTGTTTGTGTATGTAGGGTTTACACTTTAGTCTGGGCCTCTCTTCTCTGTTGAAATATTTTTAGATAAAGTCATCCTTGCTTGTTTAATTTGTGCTGGTTCAGTTTTTATTTTGAGAGGACCAATAAAGCAGAGACTCACACTAATCAGTGGGGTTGCCAACATAGATGGCGTTGGTCATCAAAAACTGCAGGATTGTAAAATTTTGTATGAAACATTTTTGGAATCCAAGCTGTTGGCTGATAGGAAGAAATTAACTCCCTATTTTTTCTGCCAATATCTAGTTTATTCTGAGCTTAATGATTCATGCTACACATTGCCTTTGTACCTTCCTTCACTTACAGGTTTTAGCTCTTTGATAATGCCAAGGACAATAACCTTATCTGTTTAAATATTTAAACATACACTTTGCTGTATTTTATATTTATATTTTTGTCTCCTTCAAATGGTATGTTGAAATTTAATGTCCCATGCAACAGTACTGAGAGGTGTGGCCTTTGGGGATGATTGAGACATGTGCTTATGTACCCTGTAACGGAGCTTGACAGAGAGAAGCCACTCCTTTGCTCACTTTTACCTTCTACCATTTGAAGACATAGCCTTCCTTCTTCCAGAGGGTGCCAAGTTCAAGGCAGCACCTCAAAACCTAAGGACAACATTTGCCAGATAGTAAATCTGCCAACACCTTAAGCTTGGATTTCCAAGACTCTGGGATTGTTATGAATTTCTGTCCTTTGTAAATAATCCCGTCTCCGTTACTCCATGATAACAATACAATATGGACTAAAACACATTTTGTTATTCATCCATGGGTTAACTAAAATTTAACTTATAAAGTTGTGGGGAAAAGACTCGCCCCAATTTTGGATAGATGTGCTAGAGGCTTGTAGCCTAGCTGGAATAAAAGGAAAAAGGAAGCCAATATCTCTACTTGAAAAATTCTTATTGGCTGACCATGGTTTTGTCCATTTTCCCCTACCTTGGACCTGCCAACCTCATGGTTTTGCTCTGTAAAAGTCCCTAGAAAAGACAGAGTCTTGAAGTAACCCACTCAGGCCCCCCTTCTGTCCCTCTCTTGGGCAGAAGCTTTCTTTCTCTCGATAAATACATTCTGCTCTTATAAAAAAGGAAAAAGGAAGAAGGTAGTGTGTATTTGAAGAGCTGTATTTTACTTTAGCGGGTGCAGAGTTTTGCGCTTGTGACCTGTGACATCGGTCTCTAGCTTCTTCAGCCTTCCATTGCAGTTTATGCCTGCAGCTCTCCTTGGAAGTTACAGACCACTGGTCCCAGACTTGTGTTGTGTCCCTGACCCTTCTTGTTCCCCAGCTCAGGCTTCTATGGAGCTGTGTGCACATGGCCATCATGAACTCTTCCACCTCTGATTTTGTAAGCTTGCTTAATAAATTCCCGTGTAAAATTTATAAACTTTCTATTGTGCTCCCCTAGAGAACTCTAACAAATAAGTTAAGGAAAAAAATATATTTGAGGCAAAATAAGGATTTTAGACTAAGCTATCTAATACATAGTCCAATGTACAACTATTTTTATGACATTTGGCAAAGCTTTCTCTAATGTACCTTTTGTTTTCCTGAAATTGTGAGGAACATTTTACTTTTTCTTCCTATATGGTGCTTTCCCCCATATGGCTCTTTTATGCAAATATGCCTGGTAGGGCTTTTGAATAATTAAGGCCAAATCTGTACACTGATGTCAGAGAAGTATTAAAGATTTTCAAAACTCAATCCTCAGCTTAGGGATTTGCAAACTAATCATCAAATGGTATCTAAAATTACCTTTGTTGTCTGGAAAATGACTTAATTTGTCCTATGCACAGAAGTGACAATTGGTAATTATGTGGAAACATGTCAACTTAATGAAGTTAAGAATAGGGTTGGCTTCCTTAATAATTTCCCCACCTCCACTGATCTGATGTCTTAATCTACTGCAGAACTTTTCCTCTTCTTTCTAGACAGACACTGTCCACTGAATGAATATTGATTAGAAACATCACCAGAATGTGAATAAATTATCCACTTACAAACTACCTTTCACTGAAGGTAAAGATCTTAAACCCATTGTTTCTTCTTTCTCTTTTTAGAAGCAATGTATAATTGTTGAGGAAAGGTCTGAGAAAACATAAAAGTATAAGGAAGCAAGAAGTGATGCTAGAAGCACCCTGAGCCACAGGTGAGAGCGTGTGATTCTATGGCACTCATGGAGGAGCTAAGTATTTTGATGTCTTCTTGATCCAAATGAATAATATTGATGGTTAAAAAGTAAAGGCATCAAAACATGGGTGGAGGTTGGAACAGAGGGAAGAGAAAAAGGAGAAAAAAGGAATGAAGATGTGTTATGTATGTAAACCAGCTTCCCAAATGGAGTGTAAATATTACATACAGCATGCATGTACTGAGAACCTAAATAATGAAACAAGAGAGCCTTAAAGAGCACATATGTATATCATCAATCCATACAAACCTCTTTGTGTAACAGGAATAAAAAAGGAAAATACTATACAAAAATTATGCATGGAGGCTACAGAGACTACAATGATAACAGCCCATGAGCAACTGCAAAGTTCACCTTTTTGTAAAAAAAGAAAAAAGGAATAAGAATCCCTCATAAGAAGCAGCATTGCTGAGAATGGTGATACAGGTCTGTTGTCTCAGCACTCTGGAAGCCTGAGGCAAGAGGATTACAAGTTCAAGTACAACCTCTGCAAATTAGGGAATTAGTGAGATTCTGTCTCAAAATAAAATGTGAAAATGGGCCAGGAATATAACTCACTGTGAAGGCCATGTGTTGAATGCCCATTATTGCAAAACAAAACAAAACAAAACAAAACAAAAAGACAAAAGAGAAGAAGAAGGAGAAGGAGAAGAAGGAGGAGGAAGGGGAGAAATAAGAGAGGGAAGAGGAGAAAAGGAAGGAGGGCGGGTGGGAGAAAGCTAAGTGGGGTAAAGAGAAGGAAGGGGAGGAGAGAGAGAAGAGAAGAAATAAGATGAAGGAAAAGAGGATGAAGAGGCAGAGAAGGCAGCTTTCTGGATCTTGAAAAAAAAAAGTAGAAAAGGAGAAATAAAACAGCAAACATTTAACCGGCTCTGCCCTCTGACTCAGGGCTGGTGCCTCTGTGCTCCATTTGCAGATGGTCTGAGCTTCAGGGACTCAGTGTCCACTGGGTTCTGAACTGCGTTCTCGAGGAGTAGAGATGGGTGAGGAAGGGAAAGAGGCTGAAGGAGGAGGGAGTTTGGAGGGGGAAAAGGCAAGGAAGACAAAGGGAGATGTCCTCTCACACAACTCCAGGAAAAGTCTGCGATATGTGAGGAAAAAAAAAAAAAACAGAGACAAACACTATGGGAGGCGAATATAAAAGTGACCAGTAAGCACGCGAAAGGGAAATGCATTTATTTATGTTAGGTTTACACTTGATCTTAGCCAAAAGGCCAAGGAGCAATACGTGTTATGTTAACTTTAATAGACTGAAAAACCCTAAACTGGATAAAGACAACGATTAAGTAAATGAATAAAATAGTAAGAATTAGTCTAGGCTAGTAAAAGTGTATGTGCTCCTCTTATATGCATACGAACATGCGCAGATGTGCAGGCACATATCTGAAAAAACACGTCAGAAAAGATAGTTAAGTAAGGGAAATTGAGGGGCCAGGGATATAGCTCAGTGGTGCAAGCGCCTGCATGGCAAGCATGAGGTCGTGAATTCGATTCCTGGTACCAAAAAAAGAAACTTAAGTAAGAGAAATTGAAAAACCCCAGCATTAATAAATTTGGAATTCCCAAAGAGGAAAAGATATGCCATAGAATCAGTATTTATTCAAACTGTTGAGGCATCTGCTTAAAACACAGTATGGGCTGCTTGTCTCCACTCAAGCAGTTTCATCTCTCCAGGAAATGGTATATGACAATAAAAGCAATGTCATCTTTCTGGTGTATTTCTCAATATGTATAATACATAAAGCATGCAAAATAGGTGCTAAACAATTGTTTATTTTCTTCCTAACTGTTCTGACACACAGCTTGCTATTAGGTTTTCATAGAGTCGCAAACCACACACAGTTTTGATTTCATAAGTGATCAGCTGCCTTCATCCCTGCATGGATCAAGGATCAACTGTACCTTACCAGGTGACCCTGCTTAGATCAGCTACGTAAAATATACACAAAGTATAATATATTCAGACAATGGAATATCATTTTGTCCTCAAAGAAATGGGCTTTCAAGCCATGCAAGTGCATGGAGGAAATTTAAATGCATATCACTAAGTAAAGAAGCCCAGTCTAACAGGGCTATATATTATATGATTCCAACTACTATGGAATCTATTGGGACAGTGAAAAGGATCAGTGGTTGCTGGGGGTGAGCGGGGAGGGAGATGAGAATAGGCAGAACATAGAGGCTTTTCAGTGCACTGGTAATACTCGTTATGCTGCTCTCATTAAGGACATACTCCACTAAAGATCTGTGTTCTTATAGAATATACAAGACTGAACCCTAAGGTAAACTATGGATTTTAAATGAAAATAAAGTATTCTCAATTATAATAAAGGCACCAATTCATGGGTAAATTTATTGATGTACCAATAATCAATAACCATGTGTTGATAGCAATTGAATGGAACATTCCAATGAAGGAACTTATGCATTTGTTGGGGGAAGAGGTTTTGAGAAACCTCCACACTTTCCATTTAATTTTGTTTTGAACTTCCCTGAAATTACTTAAGTAAGTGAGATTTCAGTGTTGGCAACTTGTTTCTTTATTATTTTTAGTTCTGTAATTTTCATTATCATGTACTTCTTTGATTAACATGGTAAAGTTTTATATCTCTTTTTATTGCCAATTACTTGTACACAATTCTATTATTTTCCTTGTAAAATACTAAGTGACAGTCCAGATTTAATGAGCTATGTGACTGCTGAATGTTTGTATTATAAATTACTGTATATCACAATCAGTGGGATTAATGTCTAAGATAAACTTAACATGTACTGTAGAGACAGCTATCATTTGAAACCACTACACCATAGGAGAAGGTAGTTAACATTAGGGGTTGAAAAAAAATCAATTTTGTTAGGCAACTGCACAATAAGAACTTTTGAAATGCTCCTTAGCTTCAGCAGAGTTCATGTGATGAAGGTGGCTAGGAAGGAAGTGTGGACTTGACCAGACTAGTAGAATCCAGCAAAGAGTTATGAGTTATATCACAATGTCTACGATAAACAGGACAGTCTTTGGAAGTTTCTTAAATAACAGGTTGGGGTAATTTTTGTGCTTTCTTGCTAAAATAATTTTATTTCTTTGAAACATATTTTTACTGTATTGAGTCACCATGTAACTTGACAGCCAGTCAGTAGAAAAGAAGACTTAAAATATTTATTTAACTCTATTGCTAAAGACAATATTTACCAAAACAACCTGATGAATAGATTCATGGTCAGGTGAAAAAATTATATGATATTAAGTTGTATTGGTCCACACATTCTGGAAAACAGAATACATGCAGAGTCAGTAATTATCTACTTATCATCTACCTATAGCTCTCTATCATCTATCTGTCCATCGATCTGAGTTTAAAGAATTGACTCATAATTGTGGGCTGGGAGGTTGGTAAGTTTAATACTCAGGGCAGACTTGCAGGATGCCCTGTATGTTTATATTAAAGATACTCAACCAGTATGTTTATATTAAAGACTTGATGCAGATTTCCTTTTCCAGGAAATCTCAGATTTTGCTTTTAGGGCCTATACCTGATTATCAGCATAAATTCCTTTATGTAAATTCAACAGATTGTACAGGTTGATCACATCTACAACACAGCTTCACAGCAACATCTAGACTGGTGTCTGATCAAACTGGGCACTGTAGTCTAGCCAAGCTGACGTAACAATTAGTCATCATAGGGGCTTCTTAAATTAAGGAGGACTTACTCTTAAGGAATTATAGCTCAGAGAATAGACTCTCCAAATCTGCTTCCTAAGAGGACTGGGAGAGCCAGGCGGAAGCAGCAGGCAAGAAATATATGACAAGGGACAACACAAAATTTTCTGTCCATGCTGAGAATGCAGGTGTTATTAACAATTATATCAAGATACAGGTTAAACTTTGATGTTTTCTATTAAATTATGGCATTTATTTACCTACATTATATTCTAGTAATATACGGTGTTCCTTTTAATTTTATTTATTTATTTATTTATTTATTTATTTATTTGTCTTTTTTGAGACAGGGTCTCACTGTGCAGTTCAGGCTGGCCTTGAACTCACTTTGTAGCCCAGGCTGGTTTCGAACTCACAACAATCCTACCGCCCCAGCCTTCCCATTGCTAGGATTATAGGCATGCACCACCATGCCTGGCATTCCTTTTTATTTTAAAGAGAATAAAAAAAAATAAAAGTGATCCTGAATTTCAAAACAAGATGATAGGAAATTAACAATTGTTGTTATATTGCATATTATTATCACCAAAGTAACTGCTCAGATTTGAAGATATAGACATGTAAAATCAATCAAACAATATAAGCACTAACTGTTCCTTTCAATAAACTAATAGAAATTAGGAGTACAATTGTCTGGATCTTATCTTATTTACTTTTTCAGTTTCTTATACTAGGGAGGCAATACCATATTTATACATGCAGGTCTGATTTATTTCACTTATAAGTATGGTATCTAGTTGCATCCATTTACCTATAAAAGCCTTGAGTTTATCTTTCTTCATAGCTGAGTAATACTCCATTGATTAAAAAAAACCTCAATCTTTTTATCCATTCCTCAGTTGATGGGCATTTGGGTTTTTTCCAAGATTTAGCTATGACAAATTGTACTGCTGTAACAAAGGGTGCACATATATCCCTGTGGTATGATGTTTTCAAATCTAGGAAAATATCCAGAAGGGGAATAGCTGGGTCGAATAGGCCTCCTATTCTTAGTTTTTTTTTGAATCTCTATATTGATTGTTCCAGTGGCTGCACCAGTCTACAGTCCCACCAACAGTGGAGAAGAGTACCTTTTTCCTCATGACCCCACCAGCATCTGTTATTGGTTGATTTCTTGATGATAGACATTCTTTTAGGGTTAAGATGGAATCTTAGTGTTGTTTTAATTTGCATTTGTCAAATGACCAACGATGTTGAACATTTTTAATGTATTTATTTGCCATTTGTATTTCTTCCT